GGCTGCGGGCAGGGGGCGGGGCCACGCGGGCGGGGGCGGGGCCACACGGCCACACCCTGCCCCCCTTCCCGCAATATCTGACACCCCCCCCAAGCACCCTCGGGGTGCGGGAGCGCGAGGGGGGCAGTGCTGCTCCTCCGGACAATTGCACCCTCAAACTTTTGCTTTGCCGAAGTCAAAGGCTGGCGTTTGTCTCCGTCCCAATTTCCGAATTGCAGATTTTTTTTTTTTTTCCCTCCCCCCAAACGGTTTAAATAGAACTGGCAAGGTCCTGCTGCCAAGGGCACCCCAAAAATTTAAGTGTTTGCCTTCCCAGCACTTCGAGCTGCTGAGGTAGATGCCACCCCTTCTTTCACGGCAAGGAAATCAAAGCAAGGAGCCCAAGGCAGAAGGGAGAAGTGTCCTTTGTCAGGAATACTGCTCCCGAAAGATATGTTTTACTTGTGCATCTGCACATAAGAGTGAAATAAGCAGTAGCTTTGCAGTGAGATGAAAAGGATTTTCTGACATCTTATTTGCATGCCCTCTGCATGCCCTCATAGTACGTTTGATATGATGTTAATACCGGATTTTTTTTTTTTTTTTTTTAATGTAACTGCTGAGAGAGAAGAACACATTATGCTGTTAAAACGCTTTTCTACAGAGACAACCTGAATCCACGACCAGGCTTTGCTGCATGACAACAAGGACAGGCATCACAGAATTAAGGAAATGACCTGCTAAGTCCTCTAGACTGTTGGCTACCACTTCACAATCGTTTTCAACATTTCATTTCATAAACCTTTTGTCTACCATTAAATACATGTAAGTACCAGTGTGACAGCCCTTCCCTAAGGCTTCCCCCCTCTTTTTTTTTTAAAAAGGACTGAGCTTACAATTAAAAATATTTTTCTATGACATTTTAAAGATTTCAGTTTCAACATATTGCTTTGTCAGGGAAGAATTAAAAAGCACTTTTTTTTTGTATATGTTAAATAGCTGGGAAATAACCTACTTTCACAGSGTATACCCAGAGCCCGAAGCACTTTGTACTTGCACCCTGAGCATAGGCACACATGCACAGCAAGCACTTGCTTCAGCCACCAAACCACAAGCCCCTAGGCTAGAACCCGGCTGCTATATAGAGGTGCAAAKTTAAACAGCAGATTAGGGCATACAGACCAAAAACACAAACAAACCAAAAAAAACCTCCCCTACTGCAAGGAAACTCACTGTAACAGTGTGGACTTGAGCTCGGCTCCTCTAACTGGATATACTGAGAGAATTCACTACAACTTCCCTCTGCCTTCATCTGGCAGCATGTATGCGGGTTATAGCAGTGCCTGCACCTTGCTGCACTAGCATACTCTGCGATTACATCACTAATTCCACAGCACCTTGGATTTTACCCCTCAGCTCCCTGCCTGAGATCTCCCCAAAAAGCTGCTATTTAAGGTACTCTCCTCCCTGCCCCCTCCAAGCATCTTTACCATCTGTACAGAGATAGCAGGAATTCGGGGAGTCTTTACAGAGCTTCTAATATTAATGCATCATTTCTCAACAACGGTTCTGATTTTACTGGTTATCTTTTAGTTTACAACCGAGGCTCCAGCTGTCATAATTACATGGCAAGCTGCACTTTAGCTGCTGTGGTAGCCCAGCATGCCTGCACCCCCATGTGGCAGCCTTGCCTTTTTTATTTTCCTTGAGAGAATAATCCCCTAACATAGCCCCTGTATTTCCCCGATTAGGATTAATTGGAAGGGCCTAACTACACTGGGTACTTGGAAGCCTTTTTTCGCAGAGATGCTATGACGAGCAGCTGATTAAAATGACACTGAAATTGCCTCTTCAAAGCACAGCATTRTTTATTCAGCCAAAAGGAATGAAACAAGAGGCTTTCATGTTTAGTTCTTACCTAAGGTGTAGTGCTTTTGTGTTTTTAAGATATGAGTAATCTTACTCAACAGAAAGTCTTCCCTTCTCACCCCAGAGCATCCAGCCACTCCTGCAGCTTGCTTGTTGCCCCTTTTGCTGGGCTGCCCTCCAAGCGCGGCTTCCCTGGTTGGCTTGCTCATTCGTGTTTTGGGAAGGACCCCAACAAGGGAGGTCCTGCTAGCCATCCCTTCACCCAGTGCCTCCGTCCTAGCAGGGCTTTGCTCAGCACTGGGCAAGGCAATAGATAACTGCTCACAAAATCAGCTCTGAGCTGCAGTGCATTCTGGCGATATTTTTAGCTTCTTCCTATATATTTTAATAGGCATTAATATTAATTTTGTATTTGTTTTCATATTTATATGGCATGCAAGGTCTCTCCTTATGCAATGTGAATCATGGTGCACATAATTGCCATAGGATTCATGCCTTAAAAAGTGCCAGATATTAATACCTTACCTATCCTATCTTCCTTTTTGCTTCCATTCATTGCTTTAAGATAGGAAATGAAGACCTCTGTACATTTTCCAAATTGTTKCTGCATTTCAGGATAATTTCCTCCCAGATTTTAATTAGTTACACTCTAATAATMAAATATTTATTTTACATACCATGTACTGTTTACTGATCACTCAGTCAAGAAATCTTTTGCATCTCATTTATTTAACGTCATCCTYCTAAGCAATCAACGCTGCTTAACCCAAGGTTGTGCATAATCCAGCAGTGGGACCACCAGGAGCTGTCCCAGCCTGCATTCACAGTGCTTGCATTCAGGCCAAAGATCTCTGTTGGCCTGCTGGAAGAGAAGTGGGCAGAGCAGAGACACAAAACTGCTGCCTTCCAAAAGGGAAAACACAAGTTAACTTCTTTGAAGACAGGCAAGTGCTGTCACACAGCCAATGATCTCCCCATAGTTTCCTTCATCCTCTCTTTATTGGCACCTTGTATTTACTTTTCTTTCACTCAGTATCATTTCCTGTCCTGTATCACATGTTCAGATTAAGCCCTGGAATTCATGTAGCACAACATTAAAGGGAAAAGCAGAGAGTCATTACAAATGGAGGCAGTGGTTTGTCACATTGACCTTAGATTAAAAAGTCATCAGTAAAGCCATGACAACAAATAACCAGAATGCACAAGAGGAGCACGTTTTTGGTATAAAAGTCTTAATAAAGCTTAAAGGACATAAGCTTTAATACTTGTTACACAAAAGGTGAGCCAAATAAGTCCCTTATCTTTACCACTGGTCAATCTCTTTCCAATTTTAGCAGTCGGCTAGTAAACACAGATGTAACTTGTGAATTACCCTGTAGCACCTTAGAGTACCTTGGATACCAGCTTTGCTTAGGAGATTAGCTTTATCCCACACTCCCATCAAAGCAGCAGCCAGATTTGTGCCTTCTTTAAGTGAGATCAGACAAACTCCAAGTCCAAGGTGTGCACATGCAGATTATGTTGCTACCTCAATTATAATTATGGCCATAAAAAAGCCACCGCTGCACTCAAGCCRTATTTCTTTCCACAATGTTTTCTAATAGCGTGTATTTTGTTCATCAGGGATTTGTCATACACCATTCACCATAAGTGGTTACTCTGATTCTCTAAGTCATCGTCATATTTGCCTCAGAGAAAAGGAGAATATTTACTATCTCTATCACCACCATGGGAATACTGCCAGATTCTCCTTTTGGTTGACACGGCCTCTGCAAAAGCAAATTGCTCACTCTTATCTCTTCCCAAACAGTGTCTGATCTCTCATTCCTTGAACACATAAGATTTCTAGTTAAGTCAACAGAGGTTTTTTTGTTGTTGTTGTTGGGTAAAGCACAGGCCTTCCTTCTTTCCTCAGACCTTTATGGTTCAAAATAAGTGTCACATAAGGCTGCATCACAGGAAAGGGAAAGAAGTGGCTGTGGATGCTGGAAAACAGTCAAGATCAACAAAATAAAAMCACTACTTTTCTTTCCCCCTCCTAMATTATGAATTTTATCTGAGTATTTATATCGTGGAAGAAACAAACCAAAAAGGTCCATAAGTGTTTTGGATTCTCTTCGCTTCATCATGCAAATGAGCTTTCACCATTTGCAGAGGACAGATATCCAAGAACATCATTCAATGACTAAATGTCTGGTTGTATTTAAAAATGAATTCTTTCCAACCAAAACACGAATACATAAAATGCTGAAGGACATAAAATGGGAGAAAGATGCAGAAAAAAGGGGGAAAAAGACACAATAATTCATAGGTATGGGAATGGCGAGTAAGTGCTTCTCTCAGCAAGAGCAAGTCACAAGCAGAGGCTGAGCATCGACATGCACATGGGCACAGCTCCTAMAGAGGAGCTCCTCACCATCACCACCTGACCTAACTTTCTCTATAGGAAGCTCCAAATTATGCATTAACACCCCACTTTAAAGTCCTGGTTGAAGAGGGGTTATGAGGCAAAGAAAAGATGCACTCCACTARAAGGTCTCATGCCAGAGGGCACAAGGTCTCAGATAAAGAGCACATGGTGAGGAGGTTTCAGAACAAATCAGTATTTCAGTGAACTTATGATATTGTTTTCACCAGGACAAGAACCCTTTGGCCAAATGGTTGCAGGAAACTCAGGAAAGCTTTAGGGGGAAGTAGACATCCAGGGCATGCACAGTATCCCTATTCTTGGCCACCTCCATCAGAGATAAAGCACTCTCACAGCCTGTGGTGAAGTCTAGCCTGGCATGCCAAGGACCACATTTCTGGGCCCTTGGCAGGCTGYACTTCTAGCCATGCTATATCCTACTGTCAAACCTCTCCTGGCCTTAGAAGGAAATCAGTCAGCAGGTTGAGAAAGACCATCCAATCAAACAAACCTCACTTCCTTACAGACCTACCTTACCACATACCTCTTTTACATT